AGATGAGACAAGCACTATTATAGATTTGATATTTCATGTTCTTGCTTTCATTTCTACTCTCAACTTTTACAAATCAAGATTTAACGTAGCTTTTCAACTTCAATATCGCATGACCGACCAAATCTGTATTGGGCTGGTAACAATGAATAACATGACAAGGGACGTTTATCAGAAATCAAGATGGCGGGGTATCCAACGCTTGGTGGCGCTGTTAATTGTACATATAGCTGGTGGACTGAAACACATCATCCGGAGATTACGCTCGAGACGGGAACCAGTCTAACAGACGTCATCTGAACGTATTACATGTATTATAGGACCGGTATCGGGAAAAAGACATTTTCACTGATAAATTCACGCACGCATGCACACAATGGCTTGGTGGCAAGGGCTCCGAATGTACAAGGGTGCGATTATCATTTTTCTCTCAAGTTGTCTGGCTTTGTGCAGTTTTTTTCTTCATAAAATCCCATGATGAAATCGTCTTTTAGTTTCTAATCTAAGCGGGATTTTTCCCGCTCAATCTCACGTGCACAGGAAAAATCACGATTGTAATTCTTTCCAGAGAGCACTAAAAATTTCGCTTAGATTAATAGCAAAAACGATTTAACGCCAAGGCAGCCATTTCTGCGCGTGCGCATGCGTGCATAATTATGAATATTTTAGTTAAAGGTCTATGAAACCGGCAGAATCCTGCTGATTTTACGCAAATGGGAAACGATGCCCGCTCCATGAACAAGGAGCTGATAAAGTAGGCCTATTTTGCTTTTACTTAGTCGTTACCAAAAGTAACTTCGCGGCATATTGTGCATATATTGTGTTTAATTAAAATTAAACACAAGAAATACTGATTTGAAATAGATTGCCGTAAAATGATTTATCGATGATAATAATTCAGTGGTGTAGCTAGGATTTTACCAGGGGGCACAGCAGGGGGAGGGCTCTGAGGGGGCGCCAGGAATTTGGGGGGGGGCACGTGCCCCCAGCCCCGCTCCCCCGTGTGGATACGCCACTGTTATCATTAAAAATAAATTTCAACACTGTGATGATCAACGGCGCTGGGAGGGCTTAGTAAGGGTTCTTCGCCTCCCCGCTGAAACCGTCAATTCATGTTAAAGCACCGGTATTGGCCCAATAATTCAGCATTCAGCATCCAATTGAAAGGAGTTATAGGCCCCACTCTTCCTTTTTCGGAAATGGTATCAACTTATTAAACCTAGCTACCAATTCGTCTGACAACCAAACAAATTAAAATGACATATGGATCTCGATAATCTGGTCCCGGTCGTCCATTTTCTTTTAGAATGCCAACCTTATGGAACTGCCCCCCCCCCCCGTTGTGACACCTCTATGTGTCTCTTCCCCGCCTCCAAAGGCTGTAGGTGAAAAAATGGGGAAAAAGTAAAAATACAACTTTACGCAGTGAATTCTTGCCGTTAACGATAAACCTGGTTGACAGAGTGAGGTCGCTCTTCATAGATTAAGGAAGTATAGTTCCCTGCACCGTCATTGCAAATGCCTATTTTCTGAAAGGGTGTTTCTCTGTAAGAGAGACACCGAACCAGCCTTACGTAAGACATGCAGAGAGAAAACATGTCATTCGTACGGTGATGAATCCTGTCGGTCGGTTCTTGAAGAATACCGCCGGTTTACGACGCTTGACAGTGTTCTCAAGGCAGCTCCAAGGCAGGAGAACGACCGGCTTTGCAATGGCCAACAATTCCCGGCAAACGGCTGGTGTTTTAAGTGAGTTCCTTGGGTATTAAGATCGGAATATGGGATTGTCCAGTTTCCGGACACCGGACAGGAACTTTGCATGAAAACACGATCACCCGTGGCATGCCTGGCGATGACCATGATAACGATTAGTTTTTGTTGTTTTTTTTCTGAGTTTTTTTTTAGTTATCTTGAAGAAGATGTCATAGGAAATGTTTTGATATAAATTTGGATTCCGTCAGACTTTGCAAAGCAAAAAAAAATCGGTTTTAAGCGGGGATAGTTTGAGATGTTTTTTGTAATCTGGCAGTGGGAATGCAGAGTAAACAATGATTGTTTTGTAGGCCTACACAAAAATGAGTGTGGATTTTAACTGAAAAGCTCAAATGCATTTTTGTAAAACCTTAGTCCTTATTTCAAATGCTAGCTTCACTTCAAATTTCAATTGGAAATTAAAATGGAGGAGCTACAGCGGCTGTAGGTGGGAGGGCACCCCCCCTCCCTGCTTCCCCCGCTAGTCGTGCTTGTGTGGCGGGTCTGATGAAATAATGCAAAGCATAGTTTTCTCTCTCACTAGATGGAACAACCATTGCCGTGCAACGACAGTGTAGCATGCATAAAGGAAACGCACATTTCCTCCTTTTTTTCGGCAGTTATTGGCGATGAGATACTGAAAGGTCACACTCAAGACACAAACTCTTTCTTCCTGTGCAAGGAGCTGTATGACCTTGGGGTCAAAGTTGAAAGGGTGAGCTTAATACATGAAACCTAACAATTCCAGGACAGCAACAGATTTGCTGTATGTAATCCTTGTGAGATAATTTTAGTTGTTCGTTGTTGATTGATCGGTGAGTCGAGTATCAGTGAAGAGGACAATACATGTTCATGGTCATGGCAGGGAAATATTATTTTACGTGTCACTGAACATGCATCTAGTATGATCGATGAGTAACGATGCATTGTTGACCAGCAGGTAAAATTTGCTCTGTGACAAGTTTAACCCTCCTTTGGTTTTACAGCACAAATGTGCACGAGTGCCCACAGTCACTGGTGAGCAAGTAATTTCTATATGGAACT